ATAACGCGACATAGAAATTATGATCATTTCAATAACCATAGTAACACGCTATAAAGACGTAACTCATAATATAAAGTAAAGTAAGAAACAAGTTTTGCAATAGCGTAAAACTCCGCCTATAGTTTGTACGTTATAAAAGTGACGTCATGATGTGAAAAAATGATGTCATTTGGTCGTAAACCCAAGTTGCAATTAACATTTGTTCATGGTTACCCTGACACGTTGTCACGTTAAGATTATGACGCAAGAACGTCTTGAAGTGCGGGCGAACACTAAGTTTTGCTTGCCTTTCGGCAAATCGACGACGTAAATATTTACAAAGTTGCAAGAGGCTAAGGGGAAAGACAATGTTTGTCGTACCTTAGCGTTAAGGTGGCACAACAAGTTTTCTAGGGAACACACAATCCTGAATGACGAACATGGGTCCGGCAGAAAAAGTCCGAGAAAGCGGCAAGTGTCGCGTCAATTCAGTCAGCGCTTGATACGGATAGGCGTTAAACAGTGCGGGTGGCATGCCACCAAAAATGTTTTCTGCATTCGGGAGCATATTTTGAAAAGCTATGAATGTGACAAGACATCACATAGCGACTTAAACTGCGCGGACGACGTCGCTGATGTCGCACATATTTTTGTGGGGGGGGCGACATATTGTGTGTGGGGGCGCTGGTGCAAACATTACTTTCTAATAAATTCTGTAACTTTAAAACGGTTTTATGGATTACTTTAATATTTTCAGATAGTATTTAGAAATGAATGAACTTTGTTACTATGTTTTATATAAGTGTTGAAAGTATCAAATAAAAGCTATGAACACAGTCTCGTTATATATTGAACAACCCTCGTATCTCCTTTCTCATATTGATGATATTTTAACACTACTATGGTCTTCAAAATATTAATCAACACTAGACATGAAATCAGGATTTTGGCAAATACCAGTACATGGGTTTGACAAAGAAAAAACAGTTTTGACAACATTTCGAGGACTCTATGAGTATAATGTTGTTCCATTTGGTTTAGTTTCTGCACCTGGAATTTTTCCACATGTCTTATAAAGTTAAGAGGCATTTACAGTAAGTTATCTTGATGGCATTCTCATATTTTCGAAGGCATAAAATGAGCATTTTCACATATAAAACATTATTTTTTTAAGTTAAAAGAGCATAAATTAAAACTTTAACTGAAAAGGTGCAGTTTAATTCAGCCACAATCCAATACCTTGGTTTTATTATTGATCATGAAGGTATAAGACCAGACCCAGATAAAGTAAAAGCTATAAGGTCACTTCCGTTACCAAAATGTGTTAAGATGTCAGACCTTTACTTGGCGCGCTGTTTTTTATAGAAGCTTTTGCCCAATAATATTCTAAAATTGCTGAACCTCTGATTAATCCTACTAGAAAACGTGTTTTTTAAGGACAAAAGAATGTCAAGAAAGTTTTGAACAACTAAAGAACATGTTAACACGTATTCCACTTTTAGCATTCCCATACCCAAATAAGCCATATATTCTATACACGGACACCTTAGATCTAATGGTCAGACCATTTTAAGTCAAAAGTGTGACAAGCTGGCACTGAATAACCTATATTTTTCTTATCTCATAAGTTAAATGAATCTCAAAGAAAGTACAGTACCATAGAAAAAGAAGCATTCAGTATTCATTATGCCTTACAAATATTAGATTTTTATTTACATAATAAAGAGTTTACTATATTTACATACCATAGCCTTTAAAAAATCTTTTAGAAGCACCAATGCAAAACAGAAGAATTAAGCTTTGGACCTCAAATATTTCTGCCTATAACTGCAAAATTGAATATTTACCTGGACAATAAAATTTATAGTCCGATTTCTTTTCTAGACCTCCAGCTGATGATAGAAATGCTAATAAGTCTGATGTTTAACTTTGCAAGCCTGATATTAATGACAATGCCTTCAAAAGAACAGTCTCAAAATCAAATACTAATCAAAATTATGATAATGGACATGCTGTGAAATAGATAAATACAGAACAACTTGGCGCGCTGTTTGACGAAAATTGCTGAAAATTGATGAAAGCTATGAAGTAAATGCTTTTGATTCTACTCATCTTAATGCTTAACAAATAGAAAACAAAGAATACCAAATTCAAAAGCCAATTATAGATTTATTAAACAGTCAGAAAAATTAAATATTGCCTCAGAACAAGATAAGGATAAAACCATTCTTGAACTAAAAAAGTTACTAGGCCAAGGACAGCCAACTAAATCAGTGCATAGCAAATATTTAGAAATAGACCGAGTTGTTTATTATGAATCTAATTTAGATGATAATACTAATCTTAGAATGTTTGTTCCACAACATTTAAAACATCTCATCATTACTCAATATCATTTGAATAATGTTCGCCCAGGAACACAGAGGTTATTAACAACAATAGAACTAAAACAAAGTTTCAAAGCCATATGTCAATGGACTTTGAAAATATTTGAACTATTACAAAAACTTTAACGTAAATTCTAAGTCGAAAAAGGGGCTTAATTCTGTCAAAATGCTTGATAGAGTTACCTCCTACTGTTTACAGATTGGGGTCATGATGTTGAACAAGTGTGCAAAGTTTCAAAGCCATATGTCAATGGACTTTGAAAATATTTGAACTATTACAAAAACTTTAACGTAAATTCTAAGTCGAAAAAGGGGCATAATTCTGTCAAAATGCTTGATAAAGTTACCTCCTCCTGTCTACAGGTTGGGGTCATGATGGTGAACAAATGTGCAAAGTTTCAAAGCCATATGTCAATGGACTTTGAAAATATTTGAGGTATTACAAAAACTTTAACGTAAATTCTAAGTCGAAAAAGGGGCATAATTCTGTCAAAATGCTTGATAAAGTTACCTCCTCCTGTCTACAGGTTGGGGTCATGATGGTGAACAAGTGTGCAAAGTTTCAAAGCCATATGTCAATGGACTTTGAAAATATTTGAACTATTACAAAAACTTTAACGTAAATTCTAAGTCGAAAAAGGGGCATAATTCTGTCAAAATGCTTGATAGAGTTACCTCCTCCTGTCTACAGGTTGGGGTCATGATGGTGAACAAGTGTGCAAAGTTTCAAAGCCATATGTCAATGGACTTTGAAAATATTTGAACTATTACAAAAACTTTAACGTAAATTCTAAGTCGAAAAAGCGGCATAATTCTGTCACAATGCTTGATAGAGTTACCTCCTCCTGTCTACAGGTTGGGGTCATGATGGTGAACAAGTGTGCAAAGTTTCAAAGCCATATGTCAATGGACTTTGAAAATATTTGAACTATTACAAAAACTTTAACATAAGTGGTTACGCCGACGCCGACGCTCGGGTGACTGCAATAGCTCTACTTATTCTTATCGAATAGTCGAGCTAAAAAATATATTGGCCAAATATGTTCAAAGAATTATTTGAATATGTTTTTAAATGGGTTGGTTGTCAGTCACGTTATCTAACGAAAATAAAATCACCAACTAAGCGAGATTAACATGCCTCCATTTCCTTTTGTCACCACCCTCAGTTTTGATTGCTATGGACTTAATTAACAAACAATGAATGGTAACGGCTACATTATATGTTTTATTGACCTTTACAGTGGTTTAGAGTGTTTTCCTACTGCTGACAAAAGTAAAAATACAATCATACATATTCTATTAGGAGAAATTTATCCTCAAAGTAATGCACTATCAGAAAAGATGCGGTCTCGGACTGATTCAGAATTATCCGACTTTAGTTCAATACAAGTAAATAACGAACCTCAGTCACAAACAGTATATAATGCTATTCAGTCTGATGCAATGGCTGACGATAATGATTCAGATACCGAAATGTTTATAAACTCTATTACTACTAAACGAAATCGCATTGTTAAGCCGCGTTATATATACCATGTTATATGCTATATTGATTTTCGCTAAATTGACCTCATGCGTTGTAAATAGTTATTATAGAAATCCTATAAAACAAATTATTTTAATTATAAATCTTCATATGTTTGGTGATTGTATTCCTTTATATTAATTTTTAAGTTTAGTTATTTAAAAAAATACATTAACTGAAATAATTTCGAATTTTTTTCTCAATCGATTCAAAATAAAGTATCTTTGCATAAAGATGTATCCTAATATATAACAGTAATTACTCTTTCACTTTTTTAAAACATTATTTAATTCGTTTATTTATTAAAATCTCAAAAGTAAAATTAGTTCTTACCTGTGTGTGTAATTTCCAAGTTAGCACAACGAAAACTTTTTTTTTAAATGACAAGATGTAAGATTAAGGTAACTAAGACATCAGGCGTTTTTTTTTTTTTGTTTTTTTTTTTTTTGTGTTTTTTTTTTTTTTTTTTTTTTTTTTTTTTTAAGAGAGATTTTAAGTGATTTCAAATTTTCTTAATTTTGTTAAACACAGTGTTAAAAAGGATAAAAATGTTCAATATGTATTTAATTTTTTTGTAAATATTGTTCTTATAAGTAAGAAAGCAATTTGTATAATTTAGATAAATGTTGTTTGTACATGCTTACTGATGATTCATATTATTGTAAATAACAAGTCGACATATAGATATACTTTTAGGGTTTTTTTTTAATTTCGCAATTCATATATATGAAGGTGTACAAAGTTCATATGTCAGAATGATTGATAATATATTTCAGAATATACATATTTTGTAAAGACAGGTGGTAAGCTGTCATCATGTATAAAGACAGATTAAAGGGTCCATTAAGTCCGTTTAGAGTTAGATTTCGGAATTGACCAGAGTAGATTGTTGTACACTAATGTTGAATTAAAATGTGAAAAGGTAGCTCTGCGTTTTCCTTCCCCTACTACAACACACAAGATTGAAAGCGTTAATTGTGGATATGAATTTGCACCTGACATACCAAATCATTAGAATATAATGTAACATTGAAGTGATAAACATCTTCTTTTGAAAAGTCATTGGAAAGTCATGCTGTACTCTTGTACGTGTACTCTTACATACATGTTCATTTTAACAGGATTTGTACGTCTTCGATCGTGCACATGCTGTCCTTTGTTGTAAAGCCCATTAGCCCGATAATTACTTGCTTAATTTCAAAAGGCGTACCTTCGGGAATAGAAACTTTTACAGCTGCATCCCACTTGTTCTTATCATAAATGTAAGGACGCATCTCTTCTATTTCTATAATTTTTCCTCCTCTCATTAATTCTAGGAGCAATTTTCCAACTGCAAACGTGTCAAGTCTTAAGGAAACCTGATAATCATACTGTTTAATTTCTTTCTCTAAATAATGTCTTAGAACAGTTGGTGGGAAATACATAGGGCTTATTCCATGTGATTGTGTTCCGTGTCGCTCTCCTATTTTCTTTATTGATCCAAAATCGCATACTTTAATAACGTCTTTCCATATAAGAACATTTCCAGGATGAATGTCACAGTGGACTAATTGTTTGCAATGATGCAAATAGTCCAAACCAGATAGTATTTGATAGAACCATGAACGTATTGTAATTGTTTTGGGATAAATCTTTCGCGGAAATCTCTTCAAATATGCTTTCAGTGATTCGCCCCATGATTCTAATAGAACATCAATAACACCTGCTTCTCTTTGAATTATGCCATATATTTTAATAACATTGGGGTGATCACAGTCTAGCAAAGTGTTAACCTCGCGGTCTAGTGATTTCATATGCATTGGATTATCACACGAAATGACACGTTTAATAACGAAAGTCTTGCCACTTTCCTTGTCAACACATTTGTAAGCTGTCCCAAGCCCTCCTTTACCTAATTCATTTATCACTTTAAAATGAGAAGTCTGTTCATAAATGTTTCCCTCAATTTGCTTCAAAGAGATATATTTCTCAAATGATTTCAAAATAACTCCAGAGTTCAATCCAATTCTTTTCTTAATGTTGCGTGATAAAAATATTGCTAAATCATAGGGATCACCATAAATTGTTTCACCAGACGTAAGTAAAGATGGTTGTCTTATTTGTTCTCCTAGGTATTCAGTTCGTTCGCCAAAATCAGGATCAGGGCAACCTTCAGCCATTGCAAATTCTTTGAAATCTACAAACTGAAAACACAATATTCTTATACAATTCCCAAATGTTAAGTAGTTTAAAAAGTTATTTGCATCGAATTTTTATATACATTCCGTATTGTTCATTTAAGTTTAGATAATCTATAAGTAGTTTACATAGTAGAAATAAGCATTGCATACATTAGTGTTTATAAACATAGAATCATAACATTTTAATAGTCTAGTTTTAATGTCAACAATAATATTAAATAATTCATAAATTACAAACTGATGATATATGTTATCTGTTATCTATACCGGTATATTGATCACATTTGTTTAATCTGGGTTTGAACAACTATTCAATTTCAATTGAACGAAATGAATGTTTAGTCAGTATTGTCTTGTCAGGATAAATTAAATGCACCCATGTTGTCACAAGAGAAAGATACATAATGAATGATTAGATGATCATAAGTTTAATAATAATTTGGAAAACCCGTACTTTGTGTCATATCATCACATTAAAGTCTAAAAGTTTGTTTTGTTTTTATTTTCATTTATTTATAAATATATGTAGTTGTTATATACGGATGTATTTTTATATCTTTATAAGTTAATACGGACCTACTTTGATATAATTATACACATGTATTATCAGTTAGAATAACCTTATTGGGTGTATTATCAAAAGTTTAATACATAAATAGCACTGTCATTAAACGAATCATATCATGTTCCAAATATAGAAAACATAATACACACAGTATAACGATCAATTGTAATGTAAACATAATCGAATAATTTTTAAAGCAATTGACGACTGCTATGATATGCTCTCTCATTTTCACTAGTCTCAGCGTAGACTTGTCTGTTAAATACCACTTTGAAAGAATGCTTTGACATGTGAACATATCGTATCATAGTTGGAATAAAACTTATATATTCATTTATGTTATGGTGATCACTGACCATCGACCATTCAGGCAAGCAACTTAAACGGGTCTAACTATCATGTTCAAACAATTTTAAAATTTCAAAAGAAAAAATGTCAGCCATTTAACAGGTTGGGGAATATTCCCGATCGAGCTATATAGCTCGTTTGAGCTATAAAAGCCCGTTCGGGCTATAAAAAGAACAAAAGAAAGTGGCAAATGTCCTTTGAAAAAACGACTATCCGAAAGCGCATATCCGAAGAACACCTTAACTACTCCATGTTGCCTAACACTTCGACACGTGACATTGGTAAACACAAGCAGCCTCCGAGGAGCTGCGCCCACACATATAATGTTGGGAGAACATGTAAATTTATCTTATAAAACCGTCACCTGCATCAAAATAATTCTATTTCTTCGTTTCGTAACTTGAAATTTCACTGGAGCCGTCCCGGAAGTTTAACGTTGACACACTTATCATAGGTAGAACTATCCAACCTTAGACTAAAGTCGGTGATTTTATATATTTATATAAATAGGTATATCGTGTGAAGTTAAAAGCTAACCAAAAACTTACTTTATTTGATAATGTCCTTGGTACAAGCGATTAACTTCAATATTTCGAATTTTATATGAACACGTTTTCCACACGTTCATTTATCCGCGCGCATGCGTCTCAACCCGGAAGATTGTCGTCAATAATTAGGAAGATCTTATTGATTTTTGTTATGTATATAGGTCTTATTTTATTTGTGTTTAGTATCTGTTTCCTGAATAGCTCAGTAGGTAGAGCACAGGACTGATAATCTCGAGGTCCCGGGTTTGATACCTACTCGTGTCACTATCATTTTTAATAATTTTATTTATTTGAAGTTTATATAAATTTTCATATTCATTCATCTTCTTTCAAGAAAATTCTGTTCATGTTTATTGTTTGTTTTGTACATACCATTTATTCTGCTGCGGACATTGGACATTGATAATATCTGAGTTGTGGACAATTGTTTTTCGAACTGTGAGTTAAACTTGAGGACATTTGTTAAATTCAAGGTCTTAGATAATAGTGTGTAAAACTTTATTTTCATAATTTTTATGTTATTGTAAATAACTGTTTCTCTTTGATTAAAATTGTAAAATTTGTTGCTGCGTTATCTTCTCTGTTGCGTTTAGCTCGTAAAATTTGAAGCCCAAACCTTGTGAACTTGTTAACTTTTGTATTGATCCTAGATGATGTTGGGTATACTAAAGATCCAAAATGAGCTAAAACAACATATCTACAGGATATTTAAAGAAAAATGAAAACTTCCAAGGTCTAAATACTATTTCATCTTATATTATGGTTAAATAAAACTATACATGACTGTATGATTTACTTCCACATTTCTCTATTTTTAGTTTTGAACATTCATCATCATGTACATCAAATTTCGAATACTAACTTGAACCTGTAGGCTATGAAAAATGTTTCAGAAATTGAAAAAAAAAATAGAAATACTTATGCAAAGAGAGTACAGATTTTGAATGATAACACATATCTTTTTTTAAATAATTATCGAAATTAAGTTCATGTATTCCATTGCATATAATCTTCGAGTAAGAAGACGATTATTTACATCATATCTGCAGTTGGTTCTTCAGTGTCTTCATATATCTTTAGATCAATGTTTACATCCTGACTAGAAGGTTTTGACTTTGTAAATATTTGTTATATCGTCATTAATCATCTTATGTCTTTGTTAATAAAAACGGTGAGCACCGAGTATGTATTGTAGATAGCGACTGATATGTGTTTGTCTAATGTTAACATTGTTTAAAGGAAAGAGATTACATGTTTGACCACTAAGCAACATCTCCCTCAAGCTTAGTTCAGTGGCTTCATGTTTTAATGGTACATTTCATAGTTCTCCTAACGCTTCTCATTGGTCTGATCCTTCACACAAACATTTAAACGCATTATTTTTTTATTATCTTATACGCTTTTCGTCTTAACCGTGTGCTTTCCGGGTGATTTGTTGTTACAAACCAGATGTTTGAAATCAAGAAAAGTATGTTGAGGTAACTGATAAGTTACAATGGTAGCTCTAAATCTTAGAAACTGATTCTTTATTATTCAAATGACTATACTTGTAAAAAAATTGCCTCTATAAAATATTTGAAGTATATGTTTCTATACAAACAAGATTATTTCTACCTTCGATTTTAATAATGAGCAATATAACTGGTCAAGGATTTTATCCATAACAATGTTGTTGTAGTAAAGTTAAAATGTTTTGTGTATTTACAAAGTACTATATATGGCAAATTACATAAGACCCAACCAGTTACAATGTCAGAACTCATATTTGGCAAACTGACAGTTCCACAGGCTCTTCACTGAATAATATCCACTGATTAAGTTTATAAACATTCCTTCACAAAGCCTTGGTACCATCCATTTGTATGACCCTTAATACATTGAAATTGTCTTTTTACAGCAATATTTGTCTTCATATGCGTCTCTCTAAACCATATACCTGATATATTCTAATTGATTTACCGATTACGTTTTCTTTCTTAAAAATGACCAATTTAAGGTTGTCTATTCTTTGTGTGTCGACTTACACTATGTTCTTAATCTAAACAACTCTGAATCCTACATTGCATCTTCATTATGATATGTTTGAGACAAAGACATCAAGGAGTAATAATAAGAGATGCCTCTGAATATTACTCATTAATAATTTACTCAATGGCTTATGTTATGCTCATTCCGGACGATAATATGTATACCAAATGTTTATTGGTCAAAACGTTGCAACGCGAATAATACTAAAAGGGCCGTTTCAGCTGTGATGATTTCAAAGCTCTTGAAGAATATTAAATCGGCTGTCCTATCTGGAGCAGAACACCTGTAAGACCCACCTTACTACTTGCAACATGCAACATCAGTTATATAAATTTTGTTCTTCGCTAAAATCATAGCTAAAAACTTTTTTCTCGGTCCATTAACGGGATATATTTGTCATATGTTTACTATTCAACAGCACTTGTAATAGTAGAAGCAATATGAAATATTATGTAATCAAAATATAGAAAACAGAATCTCTTAGCTTAGGAACGACAAAAAAATGAAAAACAAGATCAACAAGGAAAGGCGGCGTTCAATCACTAGAATAATACGTAAGAAGAAATAATTTGTAACTGATAAGAAATTTAAAGAAAACTAATAAATGATTGAATAATAGGCCTATTAAGTCAAAGGGCACAGGGGAATGGATAGGAGATTCTGTGAATGGGGGTAAATTAAAGAAACAAAACTAGGGGCAAAGGGGAAGACACTTACCAGATACTTACAGTAGACGAGAAAACAAGGGACGCAGACAAAATGTCACCAAAACAGTATGAAACAACAAATCATACATCTGAGGAACACAAAGGGGCGCCGCCTTGGAACATCAGCAGCATAAGTACTGCTGGGGAGTTTAAACCGGTCAAAAGTGCACCAAACCTCACCCTATGAATTAGACAGTGTAAATAAAATGAATCCCAGCCAAGTGAAATTCTAACAGTTGTTATGGTTACAAAAGGTGAAAACGACAAAATTAAGAACATTGCAGGTTTGGTTTTATCATGGCCGATAGAGGTAATCAAAAGATTCAGTTTAAGTCCCGACTTTAGCTGAATTCATTTCAACATAAAAAAATGACAAAACTCTGAATTTAGAAGCATCCTCAAATTTTTTCATGCGACGGTTAA